TCGTTTCTGTGTGGATTTCCGTAGGCTATATGACATTTCCTTGAGTCGTTTCGTTCCAGTGCCGTCGGTAGTTGACATTTTTGATGCATTGCAAGTCGAGGATATTCACGGTTCTGGATTTGTGAGCTGGATAGTGGCAACTGGCGATCAAACGATAAGGTAGAGAAAAACAGCGTTTACTGTCTGTGAAAAGCAATACCAATTTAAAAGAATGCCTTTTGGACTATCGGAAGCCCCGTTTACCTTCCGATATTTGATGCTTCGCTTATTGAGCTTCTTGGAGAATGTGGTATACGTGGATGATAGGGTGGTGTATAGCCAATCAGAGGCGGAGCATAGCGGTCACCTGAAAACAATCTTGGGGCGGATTCAGCAGTCGGAACTCCGTATAAATGGACCGAAGTTCCACATTGGTAAGTCTTGTGTCACATTACTTGGCAATAAATTGGGACAAGGTGAGCTGAAGTCATCGCCTGAGATTATTGACAATACAAGACACCCCCGTTCCTACCGAGTGTTCCTGGGCCGTGCTCAGTATTACAGCAAATTCGTCAAAGAATTCAACAATTTGGCCTCACCTTGTACGAGCTAGTGAAGCAGGATAAGAAATTCACTTGAATTTCAGAAGCCCAACAAGCCTTTGATCGCATTTTGCAGGAAGCGGGAAGACAGGAGCTGACCCTGAAATTACCCATTGCTGGAGAGATGTTCAAGGTGGCCACGGATGCCATTGACGTCGGAGTAGACGCGGTTTTGAAACAAAGTCATGGTACGATTGAGTACGCCAGCAGAATGTTGACACCAACAGAACGCAAGTACAACGCTAGAGAGGGAATGTCTCGCAATGGTCTGGATATTGGACAAAAAGCGGCCATATCTTTTAACTCAGCGAGTTCACGTCGAAACGGATCACAAGCCTTTATAATGGATTAAGTCCGCCAAAGGCCCCAGCGGAAAGCTAGCGCGATGGGCGCTCCGCCTACAGGAATACCATTTCACAATAAACTATGTGCCGGGAAAGGAAAACCAAACTGCGGATTTTTTGTCACGCATGATGAACGAAGATGACCTGCTGGGTGTGACTTTCGGTGTCATTGGTTTACTGTTGGAGCAGCATCCAGGACAGTTGGCAGCCGAGCAACGTACAAACTCTTGCACAAAGTGCTCACTGCACAAATAACCGGTCAGTCAGTCTTTATCGAAAGTCAACTCAAACAGCTCGGACCGTTTGCAAAATTGCAACGTTACAACTAAATGAAGTGCGGATTCTGATGTGGATACCAGAAAGCAGCAACACTTCAGTGCAGGTCATTCCGACGAAACTAAGACGGAGGCTGGTAATTTCTTGGCACGAAGTGGCCCAGCTCGGTTGTTCCAGGACCTACGACCTGCTAAATCAACACGCCTATTGGCCGGACGTGAAGAGGGACGTCGCGACGTATGTGCTTTCGTGTAAGTAATCTCAGCACTTGAAAACCGACTACAGAGGAGCACAACACCCAGTGATGTCGATTCCGGTATCGGAAATTGATGAACTTTAGTCCATCGACGTGATGGGACCGTTTCCATTGACTAGGCGGGGCAACCAATACATCTTGTTGATGACAGAGCACTTCACGCGCTGGATTGATGCAACGGTAATCCCGGATCAACGGGCGGCTATCATTACCTATGCTGTCATGTAACATTTGATGGAGGATCACGGAATCCCAAAGGCCGTAGTAACAGATCTGGATCCGTGCTTCGAGAGTGAGGAATACCGGAACTGCTTGGAGAAACGTGGTATCAAGAAAGTGCGGACAACCCTAACCACCCGCTAACAAATGGCTTGACGGAGCGGTACAACAAAACGATTAAAGGGTGGCTAGTGGCAAAGGGTGGAGACTGGAAGAAAGCTTTGCCACTGCATTTGCTAATTCGTCCGAGCATCCAAGGATGCCTCTATAAGGAAATTTAGCATTCCTATTGATTAACGGTAGAGCACCTCACCTACCTGTGGATCTAAAGGTTGGAACATGGCCGACTTGCCGAATATCACCCAAAGAAAAACAGGATAACAGGAAGGCAGCCAACCGTAACCTGAAAGCAACTCAGACGCAAAAGAATGAAAAAGCCCCAGGCAAACAATGGTGAGATGCGTGTTAAGTTTCCGATGGATTAGAACCTGAAATCCATTGGCAATGAACGCGCTCGCACTTGTGACCCAGGGGAAAGGAAACACCTATCGAAGTGAAAACGACCGTACGAGGGGGTCAACCGGCGAAGCACGGTGTATACAATCACTCGGCAAAGATATTCACGGCGAGTACGTGCCAGTGAGTTGAGGAAGTGGCACGAGTTAGAGAAGGGAGCCCCTTCGTACAGTGAGCATCCCCGACGGTTAAAAAGACTCCGAGCTAAGGCAGCTGAGGCGAACACTTTGGAGGTGGGGGAGGGTGGTGGACTGAAAAACAGATGCTACTGCGCCAGTTATCAGTAGTGTGGTGCGAGGACACGAAACAGCAACCAGCCAACAGCAAGCCTTACTGACTCCGACAAAGGAAAGGAACACTTCGGAACCGCAGTTGTATGCGCACGGGGAATGGGCGCATAAGCAGTGCACACCACACAACCACTAGACACAGAGGGGAACCTGCGCCCTGCATTCTCCAACTTGGATGACGATGATAGATGAAGGTCTCATTTGTCGGACCGGATAGACTTGGTATTAGCTATGTTCGCACAGCATAGTAGTGATGTACTTTTTGTTTCTACGGAGCAAATTCGACGGCAGCATTGTGTGACTGCAGTGCTTGATACACTGGGACTCACTTGGCGCACCTGTGTTTGGGTGCCGCTTTCCTTTTCTGTACAGCTAAGAGGGACCCATGCAAACCAACGGTTGCGTCATTTGCCATCTGTTTTCTTTGTGTGATCGGCTAGCTTGTTCGTGAGATCGGCATTATCAGTTGCAACGTGTTTACTAACTTCGGGGCTTGAACAAACGGCTCAGTATGGACACATTCATGTTGCCATGAGATCTGTAGAAAGTTAGTCAGTTTAGATTTCCATGCACCTTAACCGCCGTAAAAGGTTCTCTTTCGGATGGCTTGACGACAAAATCCAGAATGCGCAGTTCGCGCCAAAATATAAAACTTTTGCTATAAATGTTAGAACATGAGTAGGACACCTGGACTTTGTGTTTCTCTTTGGCCTTAACACCGTTCGGATCAGACTTGTTTTAAGATTCCACTCGAGAAAATATCGTGCTAATGTCGCCCAACTGCATGAGCAAATGCGAGGATTCAAGTGGATTACCCTTACATATCGTTCTCGGTTACACCTGGGTCAATTTTAAGTCCGGTATGCCGGTGGTGTGAGACATGTATGGTTATAATTTAAAGCACCCGATACTTATGGTTGCAACCTGTTCGAAACACATAGTGGCACTGTTCTACTGGCCTAGATGTAACGACTTTGCTAATCGGAATAGATGACACGGTCCTCACAATACATAACCGTGTAACGAACGAAACAGTTAGGTTGGAACTTTCCCACAGGCGCGCAATGAACGCTGACCACCGAGGCGCCCAAAACCGAGAGAGGGAAGGCAAGCTCTCAGGCGAACACTACATTACAAGCCAGCCAAAGGCTGACATAAAGTTACACATCCTCTACTATCCAGAGACTTACACATAGAACAGTCTGCAATTAAACGAGAGAGAGGGCGTAGTGGAACATGCGAGCTCACATGATTGTGATTTGCCAAAACTGGGTAGGCAGTGGTGTATCTTACGTGGGCTCAGCTTGTGCGATCTTGTGAGAATGTGTTCCCACTATAAAGATCCAACAGTAAATAGTATGCTGCGTGTTTCCCAGGGGCTGCTTTCGATGGCATCAATCGCTTCAGTTAAGCTTAACAGATAAGTGATTCACAAATGCATTTACAGTGTCTTTCTGAATTCAATACGAAGGAAGTGACAGCTGGCCATGCGGTGTGACTTAATTGTCAACCAAATCAGCACACGCCTGCTTCGAGTTCACTGTGTACACAAGGAGTCAGCTATCTGTGAGACATGTTGGAAGCCGTAGATGGGTTTGACGGATGGTATACACATTATCTCATCTAATGTTTAGTCATGGCGGCTTTTTACTATCACCATGGCTACAGTAGCTTGGGCAGCGGTTGTTAAAGAGGAAAGCTGACTTTGATTTCCCACGCAGGGTCCGGATGAAACGGGCGGGGCTCAGCACTTGGGTTCGTTTGCACGTCATGTAAGTACTTCTAGCCTAACAGCCATAAACGTGATCTAATTGCTCCGGAATAACCTCAAACTCGGTCTTTCAAGTACTTCTTTGGTAAGCGTAGCCTTGTACGCGAATATTGGTTAAAAAGCTTGACGGTATTCGACATACGGTATCGTCTGCTATGAAGCTACCTAGTGATGGTTTCCCAGAATCGGAACATTCCAAACCACGTGTTTCTCTTTTTCTTAGAGCTGTGCAGTATTACTAACTTGAAAAGCCAGTCCTTGAAACTATCCGCACAATAGAGCTGTATGGAACGTATATCCTTAGAAAGCGTTTCTACCGATTGGCTGTTTCCACACAAACTCTATCCAAATTTTAAAATTGTTACATGACATAGTCAGTCCCCTACATTCCGCCATTTAGCACTAGCTTTCCGCTCCAAGTTTGGGACAAATATCCTTCATTTACTAACAGTCGTCCACCTGTGCTTTGAAATTATGCGGAAGCTAGAACTATTGCGTCACACAAACGTAAAAACTGCGACTGTATTTTTTCAGAAAATGTGCGACTCACGCCAGACCACACAACAGGATTTGTACAGCCCGTGCTTCATTTACTATGACGAAGTAGGCATCCTGTGTCTGCTCAGATGTTTGCTAATAGCCTGATAGTGTCCACTTGAAAAGATAAATTGTCTGCAAAGGATGAGTGCACTGTTCACATGTTTTAAGTAGTTTCGATGTAAAACTGTCATCGTATTTCGATTCCAGCGATTCGTGGTGGAAGCAGAAAAGCCAAGGCCACCGTGGTTACCGATTCGTTTTCCAATTAACCCGATTACAGAAAATTGGGGTTATTGAACATACATATGCACAGAAATACAATAACAGCCTAGAGCTGGTACTGGAACCGTTGTATGAAGTGGTCAGCGAAAGTGGACATGACGACCAACTGTCGTCATCGGAGTCGAACATGCCGGTCGTCAGTGGGCTTACCCGACGATTTATTCCCGGAATGTTTGAGTTACGCATCGAGACACCCGATACGACGCTGCATCGCACGACTGTTAGTCTGGTCGATCTACTGTGTCGGCAGCATCAAGGAATGACCAGCTGGAGTGTTTCGGAATCAATTAACCTTGTACTGGAACCCTTCATACAACTTATTTTAGATACTTATTATACAACAAACTGAGCAGCTATCTTAATGCGTGAATAATCTTAAAAGCTTGCTCATCAAAAGTTGCTATGCTGATGTGTAAATGACAATATCGGAGTGCGCTATTGTGTCCTCCGTTAGTGACATCCCTCAACATCATCTAACGCTGTGAGTTATTTGCTTCAATGCATGTAAATTGAACGTACGCTACAATCAATTGTTTACGCCTTGTGTAACGAATATGTGGTCGTTCCAGTGTTTCGTTACCAGATTGTTGAGGTGCGTGATAGACCGCTAGCTGAAACGCGCCGATGAGAAAAAACCAAGTTCATATTGTGTTCCGGCGTACATGGAACTCAACAAGTAGTCGGTACAAAGGTGCAGTACGATTTGATCCTGATTTGTATCATGCATTTGAGAGATGGACAAGACATAGTAGGTCAGCATAGCATCACAAAGAAAATCAGAGCTCTGCATATCACCTTAGGTTCATATTGGTTAGCCTGTGACGCCTCACTAACACGTAAATTTCGATAGGTGAAGCATCTACCCTCTAAACACAAGGACGTAGTTAGTTAAAAACGTTTGACGTCCGGTGCTGTTAGTCTCGTGTGATCTACCTTTGCCGCAAAAGTCTCACCGTGCTCCTGTTGCAGCAACAAATATATATATATATATATTTAATAAAATCTGACACGGAGCGCAACATGTACCGTTTGGTTCTAGTTCTACCATCAGCCGTGCAACGTTTCATCGACGCAGCATTGCGGTAAAAGTTATTCAGCACCTGTCAGGTATCGTATGGATATCACGTGAAACCCATGCTTTCAGCGGTAAACTAGAAGGTGGGTGAATATACACTACTGTGCTGGGCATAGGTGCTCCGGTCGCGAAAATTAATACCAGGAATAGATTTGCCAGCTGCGAGTTCAGTGCATCGATTGGATAATCAAGACAATTCTGTGGGAATTCACCGTCTATTGCTTAAACAGCTGGTGTTGAATTCGTTGCGCCACTTGCTACGCCTGTGTTTTTGACGAAGCTTTTCCTGAACTAGTGGAATATAAATCGAAACGCCAACTTGTGAGAGTGAGCGATGGGATTGCGGATGAATATGGTGGGAATGCGACAGGAGATGGTGAAATGAAAGCGCTCTAACCCCAAGAATGTGAACAGATGCATTTCGTCAGAATTTGTCGCCTTATAGTAAAGTAAGTTTGTTAGTAGCATGAGGTAAATGGGCGGGGCATGGAAGTATGCTGAGACGATAAAAAGTAAGCAATTTTGATAGACTTGAGAAGAAGAATTGCTAAACAGCTTTCTGATCTAGATAAGAGTGCAGTGTGCGGAAGTAGAGAACTGCCGTGGACGGAAGGAAAGGTGAGATTCTCACTAAGGCAGAAAGAACAGTGTTAAAGTGCAAGATGGACGATTGATTGGGCGTACTCAAGAGGAGGTGCGGTTGTTTGGGCATCTCGTGACGCCACCGACTGTCCACGTGCCTGTGTTGTATTACATTATGCCAGTGCCATCGCAGACAAGCACCTCAATGTAGCGAACTCCAGGTTACCTCCGACTAGTGGTGCATGCCAACTATTCATGGATTTTTACAAAATATACCACCGAAGGAAAGCGTGCAAACGCTGGGCCATGTAGAACAATCATGAGTGGCAGGTGGGAGAGGTGGGGGATCACACGTATGACAAACAAATGCGCTCTTCAAGCGCTGCAAGTAATTTGTGCTGCGCTGTTTCAAAGCAGAAGAATACACCATGGGCAGTACAACGCAGAGGAAATTCTTAAGGTGCTGATATTAACTCTAAAGACTTATGCAATCGCCTAGCGATGAAGTTCCACCTCATCGTGCATCAAGGGATGTGGCATTAACACTGAAGGATGAAAACCTGAAAGATTGTTACATTAAAGCTGACCGGTTCCATTCAATTACCTCAAAATCTTTCGAATTTATTCACATGATTTTCGCCTCCCTACCTGTTGAGTAACACAGCCATAGATGCCAAAATTAGTCACGTACCTAGACATTCACTGGGAGGACAGACAACTGCATGTAGCATTTAATCTCTCATCTGAAGTAAGTGACAAAATTCTGGGTGCTGGCCCATTTATATTTTGGGCTATGTTAGCACTTGTTTTCCTATACCTTATATAAAGCCCTAGTTTGTCTGGATAATAACAGCAAACACGCATGAAGACGAGGACTAAAGGAGTAACGAATCTATGATTTCTCCGTCTAGGATTAGGATAGCACTGACGAAAGTACAAAGATAGAATAATGCTGTTTGAAATGTATGGGAAGTTGTTATGATACCTTTGTCTGTTATTTAGACCTTTGACAGTTAAAGTCAATTTTTAAGCTTTATAGATACCCTGCTTACTATGGACAGGGTATGTTCACGGCTCGTTTTGAATTTGCGAATTTTATCGTAACCGTTGACTTTTCAGTTACTGAAAAAGCAACTTTTATTCATCGCTATATATGTGAGGATACCCATAAAAAATTAGGTTACGCACAGCCACAAATTGGGCAGAATCTTTAATAAGAGAAGTTCATCTAAGCATGAAGTAACAGGTGCGTTTTCTTACATTCGGGTGGTTCTCAGGGAAGACGTAAATCAGTAACTGCTTTAGTTTCAGGACAGGTCCACAGGACTGGTTGTTTACTGAACCCAAGTATCTGATGCGTGGTTGCACGTTAATTGGCATAGTTATTATGTGGGATTTTCAGAGTCTATGCCGTTTGGTACACACACCGAAATTTTATAAAACTCTCCGGAAGAGGGAAAGAAGTATTTAGTAAACTCACAAGTTTCAGGCCACCTGAGTTGCCTCTTCGCAGAACCAATGTATCCGTTAATCAATGAAACCGCGATGCACAAATAGTTATTCGTTTAAACGTATCAGTTAGAAAAAGGATGTTATAAGCAGTGGGTAGAACCGCATACTTATGTGCAGTTATGCAAAAGCTTAGAAATTTAAAGGTATTTGTTTTCGCCATAAACGGTCCCATTGACTTGGATGTATTGTGTGGCAAAGAAAATTTTGACATAATTATCGCTGGTTTGTTGTGTCGTTGAGTTGATGAGGGTAGATAAAGATTTATGGTGGCACAATTCGATTGCGAAATCAACGTCAGCTGGTTACTTCAACGTGAACGTAAATAGTCTCTAACGTCTTCGTTATAGTTCCGAGCTTTGAAGGGTTTATGAAATAGAGAGAAAGGGGTGGTCGGAAGGAGAGACTGAATCCATGCATAACAACTGTAGTAATGGCTCATCGCAGTACATCTCATAGGTTACTGCACCACTGAGCAATGACATTGCCCGAAGGCTGACGAGTATGAATTAGCAGTCGCTTCTAATTAAAATCACCATAAGGATGAGGCACGACACGAATTGTGCAAGAAGGATGCATCAAGATCGTAGTGGTCATAGTGGTCTGGTATGGAGAGTTTTAGCGAATAAAAATAAGAACAAGCAGGTAGGGGGGATACCTAAGGTGCAAATCCGTGATTGTAATGTGTACATGTGACTGAATGGTACAAACCAAATAACTATTAGTGTACCATCTGTGGGCGAGAGGGAAGAAGTGCTTCAGTTTGCTTCTAGTAAAATGAAGTGGTTCGTGTGGCGAGGTATGGTGAAATCCGCTTCCAGAAAAATTAACAGAGCAATAAAGCTCAGTTGTCACGGTATTCGCTATAAGGGGCCAGATAAAAGCAAATATCTCTTGCGGAAAAGACGTATCAACAGGTCACCGAGCAGCGTGGCTTAACCAACAGAAACTTCTGATGCAAAAGGAGGCTTGCGGCGACCCCACAGGATCCGTTGCGGAACGCCAACAGGTGGACAGCAGAGAAAATACTGCACGGCTCTCTTCAGATGTGATCAGAATCCAGTAGACGCAGGTGATCAGAGAAGACCGCTTTCGTGTTTTCTCAAGCTAGCACTGGCTTTGTCCTGGTGCATACCGCTTATGGCGAAATGTGAAAGTTTAGCCCTAACAG